CCCCCTCCGTGTGCTCAGCTTCTCCCCTCCCTGCCCTCCCTCCTCCCCGCCACTGCCCCTCATTTTCCGCCCCCCCCCCACCCACGCCCGGTTTCTCCCCTCCCCGCGCCTCCCTTTCTTTCTCCGTGCCTCTCCTTTGCTCCCTCCCTGCCCCCGCTGCCATGCCCCTGTCTTTGGCTTCTCCCCTCCTGCCCCACGTTTCTTCCCTCCCTGCCCCCCGTCTGCCCCTCCCTTGTTTTCCCCCTCACCCATTGCTTCTCTCCTCCCTGCCCTTGATTTCCACACACCCCTGCCCTCGTTCCTATCATCCATGCCCCTCGTTTCCCCCCTTTGTACTTCAGCCTCTTCCCTCCCTGCCCCTCCCTTCCTCCCCCCTGCCCTTTGCTCTCCCCTCGTTACGCTCCCTTCTCCCCATCCCTGCTGCCCTCTTACCACCATCAGCCCATCCCCACGACCAGCCCCCTCCCACCCTTCAATCCCCCCCTCCCTCTCTCTCTCTCTTCTCTCTCTCTCTCTCTTTCTCCACACACACACACACACCACACTCCCCTCCCCCATCCCCCCCCACCTACATCCTCCATTCTGCCCCTCCCTGCCCCTTTCCCACCCCTCGCACGCCCCTCACCTCCCACCTCCGTGCAACTGGTTTCCCCCCTATGGTGCAACCCTTGCATCGCTCGCACCCCTGCTCACCCTCTGCCGCCCTTTTCCGTGCCCTCAGTTGGCCCGGCCCTGCCCGTTGCTGCCCCTCCCCTTGCCCCCTCAACTCCCCTGCCCCCTGTACACCCAAGTCCCATCCAACCGCCCCCACCCTCCCCCGGCTGCCCGTTTCCGTTCTCTCCACCCCCGCGACCGTGTGCGGCTTCCAACCGCCCAACGGTGGTGCGCACGGGGCGTTTCTTCTTCGCATGGGCAAGCCTCCCCGGGGCCCCCCACCCCGCTGGGGTCGTTGTTTGGGCAAAAAAACGAAAAGAAAAGAATCGGACGCGCTAAAATCGTCCTTTCTTTTCCCGCTTGCCCCTCCCCCGGCACGTGCCGAGCAAGGGGCATAATGGGTACACACGAGGACTTCCGGGAGGTCACCCAGCCCAGTACTGCTCTCGCCCACCGGCGCTTAGCTTCGGAGTTCTGATGGGATCCGGCTAATAGCTGAGGTATGATCGTACCACGTCAACCTCGTGCCCCGACCGTCCGGGTCCCCCCCTTCATAGTCACACCCCCTGCCCCCTCATGCCATCCGCTCCCCCCGCCCCTACCCTCCGCGTGCCCGCTCCCTTGCCGCCTCTTTTGACCCTCCCTGCCCCCCCTCGCCGTTTCCCACCGCCCGCCATTCGCTCCTCCCCTCCTCTGCTGCACGCCTCTTCCTTCCCCTCGCCGACCCACTCCACTCCCTGCCCCTCCTCAATCCGCACCCTGCCCTCGTATCTCGCCCCCCTATGCTTGGTTTCTCCCCTCCCTGCCCCTCGCCGCCTTCCCCGCTCCCCACCTCCCCTCTCCCTGCCCCCCCACACTCTCCCCCCCCCCTTGTCCTTGGCTTCCTACCTCCCTGCCTCACTTTCCCCCCTCCGTGTGCTCAGCTTCTCCCCTCCCTGCCCCTCCCTCCTCCCCGCCCTGCCCCTCATTTTCCGCCCCCCCCCCCCCACGCCCGGTTTCTCCCTCCCCGCGCCTCCCTTTCTTTCTCCGTGCCTCTCCTTTGCTCCCTCCCTGCCCCCGCCTGCCCATGCCCCTGTCTTTGGCTTCTCCCCTCCCTGCCCCACGTTTCTTCCCTCCCCGCCCCCGTCTGCCCCTCCTTGTTTTCCCCTCACCCATTGCTTCTCTCCTCCCTGCCCTTGATTTCCCACACCCCTGCCCTCGTTTCCTATCATCCATGCCCCTCGTTTCCCCCCTTTGTACGTTCAGCCTCTTCCCTCCCTGCCCCTCCCTTCCTCCCCCCCTGCCCTTTGCTCTCCCCTCGTTACGCTCCCTTCTCCCCATCCCTGCTGCCCTCTTACCACCATCAGCCCATCCCCACGACCAGCCCCCCTCCACACCTTCAATCCCCCCTCCCTCTCTCCTCTCTCTCTCTCTCTCTCTCTCTCTCTCTTTCTCACACACACACACACGCACACCTCCCTCCCCTACCCCCCCCCCACCTACATCCTCCCATTCTGCCCTCCCTGCCCCTTTCCCACCCCCTCGCACGCCCCTCACCTCCCACCTCCGTGCAACTGGTTTCCCCCCTATGGTGCCACCCTTGCATCGCTCGCCCCTCTGCTCACCCTCTGCCCGCCCCTTTTCCGTGCCCTCAGTTGGCCCAGCCCCTGCCCGTTGCTGCCCCTCCCCTTGCCCCCTCAACTCCCTGCCCCCCGTACACCCCAAGTCCCATCAACCGCCCCCACCCTCCCCCCCGGCTGCCCGTTTCCGCTCTCCACCCCCGCGACCGTGTGCGGCTTCCAACCGCCCAACGGTGGTGCGCACGGGGCGTTTCTTCGCATGGGCAAGCCTCCCCGGGGCCCCACACCGCTGGGTCGTTGTTTGGGCAAAAAAACGAAAAGAAAAGAATCGGACGCGCTAAAATCGTCCTTTCTTTTCCCGCTTGCCCCTCCCCCGGCACGTGCCGAGCAAGGGCATAAATGGGTACAACACGAGGGACTTCCCGGGAGGTCACCCAGCCCAGTACTGCTCTCGCCCACGGCGCTTAGCTTCGGAGTTCTGATGGGATCCGGCTAATAGCTGAGGTATGATCGTACCACGTCAACCTCGTGCCCCGACCGCCGGTCCCCCCCCTTCATAGTCACACCCCCTGCCCCCTCATGCCATCCGCTCCCCCCGCCCTACCCTCCGCGTGCCCGCTCCTTGCCGCCTCTTTTGACCCTCCCTGCCCCCCCTCGCCGTTTCCCACCGCCCGCCATTCGCTCCTCCCCCGCCCGTGCGCTCCCCTCCTTTACCTTCTCCTCCCCCCCTCCCCTCCTCTGCTGCACGCCTCTTCCTTCCCCTCGCCGACCCACTCCACTCCCTGCCCCTCCTCAATCCGCACCCTGCCCCCGTATCTATCTCGCCCCCCTATGCTTGGTTTCTCCCCTCCCTGCCCCTCGCCGCCTTTCCCCGCTCCCCACCTCCCCCCTCTCCCTGCCCCCCCCACTCTCCCCCCCCCTTGTCCTTGGCTTCCTACCTCCCTGCCTCACCTTTCCCCCCTCCGTGTGCTCAGCTTCTCCCCTCCCTGCCCCTCCCTCCTCCCCGCCCTGCCCCTCATTTTCCGCCCCCCCCCCCCCACGCCCGGTTTCTCCCTCCCCGCGCCTCCCTTTCTTTCTCCCGTGCCTCTCCTTTGCTCCCTCCCTGCCCCCGCCTGCCCATGCCCCTGTCTTTGGCTTCTCCCTCCCTGCCCCACGTTTCTTCCCTCCCTGCCCCCCGTCTGCCCCTCCCTTGTTTTCCCCTCACCCATTGCTTCTCTCCTCCCTGCCCTTGATTTCCCACACCCCTGCCCTCGTTTCCTATCATCCATGCCCCTCGTTTCCCCCCTTTGTACGTTCAGCCTCTTCCCTCCCTGCCCCTCCCTTCCTCCCCCCCTGCCCTTTGCTCTCCCCTCGTTACGCTCCCTTCTCCCCATCCCTGCTGCCCTCTTACCACCATCAGCCCATCCCCACGACCAGCCCCCCTCCCACCCTTCAATCCCCCCCTCCCTCTCTCTCTCTCTCTCTCTCTCTCTTTCTCACACGCACACACACACGCACACTCCCCTCCCCCACCCCCCCCCCTACATCCTCCCATTCTGCCCCTCCCTGCCCCTTTCCCACCCCCTCGCACGCCCCTCACCTCCCCACCTCCGTGCAACTGGTTTCCCCCCTATGGTGCCACCCTTGCATCGCTCGCCCCTCTGCTCACCCTCTGCCCGCCCCTTTTCCGTGCCCTCAGTTGGCCCAGCCCCTGCCCGTTGCTGCCCCTCCCCTTGCCCCCTCAACTCCCCTGCCCCCCGTACACCCCAAGTCCCATCCAACCGCCCCCACCCTCCCCGGCTGCCCGTTTCCGCTCTCCACCCCGCGACCGTGTGCGGCTTCCAACCGCCCAACGGTGGTGCGCACGGGGCGTTTCTTCGCATGGGCAAGCCTCCCCGGGGGCCCCCCACCCCGCTGGGTCGTTGTTTGGGCAAAAAAACGAAAAGAAAAGAATCGGACGCGCTAAAATCGTCCTTTCTTTTTCCCGCTTGCCCCTCCCCCGGCACGTGCCGAGCAAGGGGCATAAATGGGTACAACACGAGGACTTCCCGGGAGGTCACCCAGCCCAGTACTGCTCTCGCCCACCGGCGCTTAGCTTCGGAGTTCTGATGGGATCCGGCTAATAGCTGAGGTATGATCGTACCACGTCAACCTCGTGCCCCGACCGCTACACACCCCTTGCCCGGGTCCCCCCCTTCATAGTCACACCCCCTGCCCCCTCATGCCATCCGCTCCCCCCGCCCCTACCCTCCGCGTGCCCGCTCCCTTGCCGCCCTCTTTTGACCCTCCCTGCCCCCCCCTCGCCGTTTCCCACCGCCCGCCATTCGCTCCTCCCCGCTCCGTGCGCATCCCCTCCATTACCTTCTCCTCCCCCCCTCCCCTCCTCTGCTGCACGCCTCTTCCTTCCCCTCGCCGACCCACTCCACTCCCCTGCCCCTCCTCAATCCGCACCCTGCCCCTCGTATCTCGCCCCCCTATGCTTGGTTTCTCCCCTCCCTGCACCTCGCCGCCTTTCCCCGCATCCCCCACCTCCCCCCTCTCCCTGCCCCCCCCCACTCTCCCCCCCCCTTGTCCTTGGCTTTCCTACCTCCTGCCTCACCTTTCCCCCCTCCTGTGTGCTCAGCTTCTCCCCTCCCTGCCCTCCCTCCTCCCCGCCCTGCCCCTCATTTTCCGCCCCCCCCCCCCCACGCCCGGTTTCTCCCCTCCCCGCGCCTCCCTTTCTTTCTCCGTGCCTCTCCTTTGCTCCCTCCCTGCCCCCAGCCTGCCCATGCCCCTGTCTTTGGCTTCTCCCTCCCTGCCCACGTTTCTTCCCTCCCTGCCCCCCGTCTGCCCCTCCCTTGTTTTCCCCTCACCCATTGCTTCTCTCCTCCCTGCCCTTGATTTCCCACACCCCTGCCCTCGTTTCCTATCATCCATGCCCCTCGTTCCCCCCTTTGTACGTTCAGCCTCTTCCCTCCCTGCCCCTCCCTTCCTCCCCCCCTGCCCTTTGCTCTCCCCTCGTTACGCTCCCTGCTCCCCATCCCTGCTGCCCTCTTACCACCATCAGCCCATCCCCACGACCAGCCCCCTCCCACCCTTCAATCCCCCCCTCCCTCTCTCTCTCTCTCTCTCTCTCCTCTCTCTCTCTCTCTTTCTCACACCACACACACACCGCACACTCCCCTCCCCCACCCCCCCCCCCACCTACATCCTCCCATTCTGCCCCTCCCTGCCCCTTTCCACCCCCTCGCACGCCCCTCACCTCCCACCTCCCGTGCAACTGGTTTCCCCCCTATGGTGCCACCCTTGCATCGCTCGCCCCTCTGCTCACCCTCTGCCCGCCCCTTTTCCGTGCCCTCAGTTGGCCCAGCCCCTGCCCGTTGCTGCCCCTCCCCTTGCCCCCTCAACTCCCCTGCCCCCCGTACACCCCAAGTCCCATCCAACCGCCCCCACCCTCCCCCGGCTGCCCGTTTCCGCTCTCCACCCCCGCGACCGTGTGCGGCTTCCAACCGCCCAACGGTGGTGCGCACGGGGCGTTTCTTCGCATGGGCAAGCCTCCCCGGGGCCCCCCACCCCGCTGGGTCGTTGTTTGGGCAAAAAAAACGAAAAGAAAAGAATCGGACGCGCTAAAATCGTCCTTTCTTTTTCCCGCTTGCCCCTCCCCCGGCACGTGCCGAGCAAGGGGCATAAATGGGTACAACACGAGGACTTCCCGGGAGGTCACCCAGCCCAGTACTGCTCTCGCCCACCGATAGTGGCTGTGCTTGAAACGCTGTGCGTGCGGTCGTGCGGGTTGCTGCCGTGTTTTGGTCCTTTGGTGCTTCCTCCTCCTTAGTCTCTCTCCCTCTCTCCTCTTTTCTTCCCACCTCCCTCTTTCTGTTCCCTTCTTCTATCCTTCCTTCTCTTCCTACCGCCCTCTTCTTTTCCCTACCACTTCTTCTTACTCCTTCATCCTTCCTTCCTTTCCTTTCTTTCCCCTTTTCCTACAAAATATATATACCGTCCTCATAGCGATTAGGCTATGTCGAAATTTCCTAGTCTTGGAAAAACCATTATATTCGGCTTGTATTTGCTCTTCCCCTATTAATGAATAACTGCTCTCGCCCACCGGCGCTTAGCTTCGGAGTTCTGATGGGATCCGGCGTAGTAGCCGAGGTATGATCGTACCACGTCAACCTCGTGCCCCGACCGCTACACACCCCTTGCCCGGGTCCCCCCTTCATAGTCACACCCCCTGCCCCCTCATGCCATCCGCTCCCCCCGCCCCTACCCTCCGCGTGCCCGCTCCCTTGCCGCCTCTTTTTGCCCTCCCTGCCCCCTCTCGCCGTTTCCCACGCCCGCCATTCGCTCCCTCCCCGCCCGTGCGCTCCCCTCCTTTACCTTCTCCTCCCCACTCCCCTCCTCTGCTGCACGGCCTCTTCCTTCCCCTCGCCGACCCACTCACTCCTGCCCCTCCTCAATCCGCACCCTGCCCCTCGTATCTCGCCCCCCTATGCTTGGTTTCTCCCATCCCTGCCCCTCGCCGCCTTTCCCCGCTCCCCACCTCCCCCCTCTCCCTGCCCCCCCCACTCTCCCCCCCCCCTTGTCCTTGGCTTCCTACCTCCCTGCCTCACCTTTCCCCCCTCCGTGTGCTCAGCTTCTCCCTCCCTGCCCCTCCTCCTCCCCAGCCCTGCCCTCATTTTCCGCCCGCCCCCCCCCCCACGCCCGGTTTCTCCCCTCCCCGCGCCTCCCTTATCTTTATCCCGTGCCTCTCCTTTGCTCCCTCCCTGCCTCACCGCCTGCCCATGCCCCTGTCTTGGCTTCTCCCCTCCCTGCCCCACGTTTCTTCCCTCCCTGCCCCCCGTCTGCCCCTCCCTTGTTTTCCCCTCACCCATTGCTTCTCTCCTCCCTGCCCTTGATTTCCCACACCCCTGCCCTCGTTTCCTATCATCCATGCCCCTCGTTTCCCCCCTTTGTACGTTCAGCCTCTTCCCTCCCTGCCCCTCCCTTCCTCCCCCCCTGCCCTTTGCTCTCCCCTCGTTACGCTCCCTTCTCCCCATCCCTGCTGCCCTCTTACCACCATCAGCCCATCCCCACGACCAGCCCCCCTCCCACCCTTCAATCCCCCCCTCCCTCTCTCTCTCTCTCTCTCTCTCTCTTCTCACACGCACACACACACGCACACTCCCCTCCCCCACCCCCCCCCACCTACATCCTCCCATTCTGCCCCTCCCTGCCCCTTTCCCACCCCCTCGCACGCCCCTCACCTCCCACCTCCGTGCAACTGGTTTCCCCCCTATGGTGCCACCCTTGCATCGCTCGCCCCTCTGCTCACCCTCTGCCCGCCCCTTTTCCGTTGCCCTCAGTTGGCCCAGCCCCTGCCCGTTGCTGCCCTCCCCTGCCCCCTCAACTCCCCTGCCCCCGTACACCCCAAGTCCCATCCAACCGCCCCCACCCTCCCCCGGCTGGCCCGTTTCCGCTCTCCACCCCCGCGACCGTGTGCGGCTTCCAACCGCCCAACGGTGGTGCGCACGGGGCGTTTCTTCGCATGGGCAAGCCTCCCCGGGGGGCCCCCACCCCGCTGGGTCGTTGTTTGGGCAACAAAACGAAAAGAAAAGAATCGACGCGCTAAAATCGTCCTTTCCTTTTCCCGCTTGCCCCTCCCCCGGCACGTGCCGAGCAAGGGGCATAAATGGGTACAACACGAGACACTTCCCGGGAGGTCACCCAGGCCCAGTACTGCTCTCGGCCCACCGGCGCTCTTACCTTGACCTAGCTTACCTAGCCATGGCTGCCTACTAAGGAGCCTCCTAAACCTACTATTTCGAGTTGCTTAAGGACAAAGTGATTGTGATAGTTGTTTATGTTATAGTTATAAGCGTTTCCAACGGTTAGTTTTTTAGTTTCGACTGTCGAGTTCGACGGGACGGGGGTCGCGAGTTTCCGCGTCGCGACCCTCAGGAGTCTCGGAAACGGAACTCGCGGGGTGTTACGGAACCGTTTGTTCGACCCCGCCATCGCGGGATCGCTGCGGACGCGCTGCAGCCCGGTGTAACGGGAGGTGGGGCGCTGACGCGAAGTTCGCCCGCGGAGTGTAACAGCGCGCGCGACTCACAACCACAACTCCGCCAGACACGGTGTTCCCGCCCATCCCCTCTCTCGACACTCTCCCTTATCCCCCGCTCCTTTTCTGCTCACGGCTTTTCTATTCGAAGCGATTAGCTGCTACCGAGTTTTTTCCCGCGGTTTCCCTCTCTCGAAGTCACTGAGCTTAGCTTCCGCCCGTAGTTAGCACTCTTCCTTCCCTTTCGGTGCGCCCTTCTTTATCGTAACCCTAATTCGAAGAGCCCGCGCGTTTCCAAGCACGCTTTCTCGTCGCCTATCATGTTTAGTCATGCACTCGTTTTCCCCGCCTGTTCAATCTAGCCGCGACGTAGACGGAACCGCGCACGGGGCGCTTACCGCCAGGGAAAGGCAGCGCGGAGGGAGGCGAAATTGCTACGTTCGTAGCGATTAAGCAGCCCTCCCCTTGCGCGCCTCCCGAAGCGCGTTTTCTGCCTAGAGCGTTTTAGCCGCCCACGTTTGGCACACAAGCCGCCCCACTCCCCTTTTGCTCACTCCCACCCTGCCGTGCCTCGTCGCGCACCTCGTGCATGCCACCCACACGTCGTAATTTTACCCCGTCGCCACCCACATAGTCACCTCCCTGCTCACACCGCCCCTTTCCCCCTCACACGCGCGCTTTAGCCACCCCGCCACCTAACCTCTTTCCCTAACGGCGCTTAGCTAGCAGAGGCCGCCCTGTTTCTGGAAACCGTAGGAAATAAGAGGAAACAACTTCAAGGAAAAAAGAAAAGAAAAAGAAATTCATATAAATCCGAAAAAAACCAGGAAAAATCAGAAAGGCAGCTTACACCTTGTTCTCCCAACCCTCCAGGGCCCCACCCAGTCCGCCACCCCCCCCATTCTGTTTCATCATACTACACCACACCCTCCCCTTTTGCCCACCAGCATTACCGCCCCTCTCCCCTTATCCCCCACCACGCCCCCAAGCAGGCCTTTCTCCCCCAGCCTCCCGTCTCCCTGCCCTTAGTACCGCCGCGCTCTGCCCGTGCGTCACCCTTGCCCACTTCATACCACCTCCCCCTTCTCCCCCCCCCCCGGCTTCTCCCTATCATCACCCGCATGTTCCCCCACTCCCCTGTCCACAACGTCCCTCCACCCCCCTTCCTGCTTTCCCCACTCCCACTCTGCCCCCCACACCTCTACGAGCCGTACTTCCCCCTCCAGCCTCCCTTTCCCCCCCAGCTACTTCCGCATCCAGCGTGGGCTGCACCTCTGCATCCCGCCCTGCCAGGCCCTTCGGTGACCCAACTGCCGCCACCTGGCACCACGCCGCCTTTCCCACCCCCATCCAATCTCTACACCCCCTGCCCCTGCTCCCTGCGCAATCCAGCCACCTACCCCAGCCTCCCTCTACCTCTCCCTAACTCCACACCGCCGTTCCTACCCCCAGCCAAGGTCTACACCCCTTGCTTTTGCTCCCTGGGCTGTGCCGTCCCCAACCTCCCTCCGCCTTTCCGCGGCACCAGACCGCCTCTCCCTCCCCCAGCCAACTTTTGCACCCCCTGTTCCTGCCCCTTGTGCCCTCCAACACCCTACCTCAACCCCCCCCAGTCTCCCCCTTCTCCAACACCCTCCATATTTCCTCCCCCCTGGGGCTCGCCCATCCGCAGCTATCACCCTTCATCGATTCCCCAATTCCCTCTGTCCCCTGTTTCCCGGCCCCGCATCCTATCCTGCATTTACCACAGCACCTCCTTTCGGTGCCCTCTCTGCCCTCCCACGTTCTCACCCCCCGCCTCCCAACCTTCTCATTACCCGCTACCAGGCTCACGCCAACTCGACTACCCACTACCCTTTGCCCCTTCCTCTCTGTTCCCCACCCTTCCTTTCCCACCTGGCTCCACCTGCCCACCCCCACCTCCCGTGGAATTCTGCCCTGCCCTCCCCACCTCTGGCCCACCACCTGTCCCACACCCTGCTCACCCACCGCTACACCACCCCCGCCCCCCCACCTCCACTACAGCCCGCCAACACTTCCCCTCTCAATCGGCCCCCAGCCCGCCCCCCCCCTTGGGCCCCAATCCCCTCCAACTGTCAGGCCCCCTCTACCCTCTCTTCCACCCACTGCGCACCGCTTTCCCCACCCTTTTCCCCTTTCCCCAAGCTAACCCCCCGCACCCCGGCCTCTGCCAGGGAGTTCCTTCCCCCTTTGACGCCCTCTTGAGCCAACCCCAGCAACTCACACCGCCACCGCCAGGCATGCTGCCTCTGTAACAATGCCCCAGCACCCCGCGAGTGGGGGAAAGGCAGGCCCGGGAGCCCCTCGGCGATCTGGGAGGTCCCGCAGCCGAGCCACCCCCTACTCTCCCACTCCCCCCACTTCAACAGTCAGGAAGAAACAACACACACCTGACCAAGCGAAAACACTCACACAATCTGACCCTAGGGGCCAGAAGCGTACCTTTGAAGAGGATGGAACAGAGGAACGCCAAGCCCCACTGGAGGAAATACACGAGGAGGAGCCAGCACGCTCAAAACCGCGCCCTACCCCCGCTGCCCCATCCCAGTCTACCCCCCCTTCAGGTGACAGCGGGGGCGGCACCCATGCATGCTCAGTAGAGAGATCCTCCAACTCACTCGCTACCTCCCATTCGCAAACCAGATTACTTGTGAAAACACTTAATCCTACCCGCACCCCCAAGCACATAGAAGCGGGAGAGGGCAGAGCCAGGGGGGAACTTGCAGCTGACACTGCACGGGAAGGGGTAAGTGAGTTTGTGTGTGAAGGAGCAGCAGAGGCTACAGAGGATGGGGCAGCAAAGGCTGCACGGGAAGGGGCAATGGGGGTTGTGGGGGAAGGGGCAGCAGAGGCTGCAGAGGAAAGGGCGGCAGGGGCTGCACGGGAAGGGGCGGCAGGGACCGTGACTCTGGCCAGGCAAAGGGCAGAGGCCATGGAGACAGGTTTTGCAGGAGTAGGGGCCACGGAACCTGCTGCTGCGTCGGCTGGGGGAACCGCAGCAGAGGAGGCTATAGGGACCGCACCAGGTGAGGCCGCACAGACCACAGCAGGTGTGGCTGCAGGGATCACAACGGGTGAGGCTGCAGGAGGGACCATGGCAGGTGAGGCCGCAGGGAGCGCAGTAGGTGAGGCTGCGGGGAGCGCAGCAGGTGAGGCTGTAGGGGGCGCAGCAGGTGAGGCTGCAGAGAGCGCAGCAGGTGAGGCCGCAGGGAGCGCAGCAAGCGAGGCTGCAGGGAGCGCAGCAGGCGAGGCTGCAGGGAGCGCAGCAGGCGGGACTGCAGGGGCCACAGCAGGTGAGGCTGCGGCGGACGCAGCAGGTGAGGCTGCGAGGGCTGCATCATGTAAGGTTGGGCAGACTCTAGCAGGTGAGGCTGCACAGTCTACAGCTGGTGAGGTCGCATGGACTGCAACAGGTGAGGCCGCAGGGACTGCAGCAGGTGAGGCGGCAGGGACCACAGCGGATGAGGCTGCAGGCGGGACCATGGCAGGTGAGGCCGCAGGGAGCGCAGCAGGTGAGGCTGAAATAGCCGCAGCAGGTGAGGCTGCAGAGGCCGCAGCATGTGAGGTTGAGCAGATTCTAGCAGGTGAGGCTGCACAGACTGCAGCAGGTGAGGCCGCAGGGACTGCAGCGGGTGAGGCTGCAGGGACTGCAGCACGTGAGGCTGCAGGGACTGCAGCACGTGAGGCTACAGGGATCGCGGCTGGTGAGGCTGAGCAGATTACGGTAGGCGAGGTTTTACAGACTGCAGCAGTCGAGGCTGCAAGGACTGCAGCAGGAGCGACAGAGGCCACAGCGGGGGCTGGTATAGGGGGAGGTGCTACGGGTGCAGCGGGGAAGGGGGTAACGGGGACTGGTGCGAGGGAGAGTGCCGCCCCGGCTGTAGCAAGAGAGGGTACGGCAGGGGCCTCAAAGGCAGAAGGTGAGGCTGCAGCTGAAGCAGCAGGGAGGGCCATAGCACGGCCAGTAGGGGCGGCAGGGGCCGCAGCAAACTCGGGGAAACACACAGCAGGGCCGGCAGGGCCGGCAGAGACTGCAAAAGGGGCTAGCAGTAAAGCGGCAGCAGGCGGGGTGGGCTTGGGGGACATAGGGGCAACAGGGGAAGGAGAGGGGAGGGTGGTCCCGACCGGGGTGGGCACTGAAGAGGGGGATGTGATAGCGATAGAGGAGGATGAGGGAGAGGATGTGATGCACATTGACGGGCCACTGGCCCAATACCTCACGCTTGACGGTGAGGCCGACCCGGCCCCCCTGCAGCCTCACGTCGAGGTTCCCCCTCTACCCCCCATGCCCGTCCCCATGCTAGCAGAAGGACCGATGGAGGGGCTGGGGGAGACCTTGAGGACAGAGCCGCGCGAGGGAGCCCCCATCCTCACCTCCCGTCCTCCAGCCCACCAGCCCCCAGGAGCACCACTTCCCCACCCCCACCCTCAGGTCCCGGTAGTGTCCAGGGGGGCAGCCAAGGCCCTGGCCTTCTTGGCGGAGCCGTGCTCCCCGACCCCCACGCTGCTCCATGGCCAGCCCCCCTCTCCGTCCCCAACGCCTGACCCCACGGTTGCAGGCGGTCCACCGGGAGAGCACGCGGGTGCGACAAGAGCAGAGTCACCCGAGGGCACCCCTTCTCTCACCTCTCACCCCTCCCCGCCCCTTCCCTCACTCCTTCCTTCACCCCCAAGGGCAGCACACCTCTGCCCCCACCCTCAGGGGCTCCTTAGAGCACCACGTGGAGCAGCCAGGGCTCTGGTCTTCCTAGAGGAGCCATGCTCCCCGACTCCTACCAACACCCAGCCACCCCTTACCGGCCCACTACCCCCTCCTCCACCAGGCCCCCCCCCACCCGGTAGTACACACATCTCGGAGGTTGAAGCATCTCTGCGGCCAAATCCCTCTCCCACACGCTACAGGCACCCAAACCACCCGAGTCGCCGCACAGCCCCAACACGCCCACCCAACAGGCTGCCCTCCCCACACCACCCCCCCCAGGCAGCCGAGACCCACCCGCAAGGGCTTGCGCCCCAGGCTCATGGGAGCGGCGGCACCCGGGTAGAGGGGCCCACAGGAGAGGCCACCACAGAGCCCACACAAATCTCTCTCCCCCCACCGTTTGTACCTCGCTCTAACCTCCACACTGGCCCAGCCCCTCGACCCCCACCTCCAACCCCCTCTCCCGGCCGGGTTCCCCACGAGTGGCCCCGTTGGGCAGCCATCACCCCCCACACACAGCTTGCCCGATCTGTTCCCACGGAGGGGGATGTTTCGAGGAGAGTGGGGATGCACACAGAGCACCCCCTGCCTGGCGAACCACCCATCCTCCCTCCACCCACCCCTTTGGCCCCACAGCCCCCCCTTCCTTCACAAACAGGCGCGGACAACCAGGTTGGCCGCCGGCGGAAGAACAGGGGCAGAGGAGGCAGAGGGTCAGCCCACGTACTCCCCCCTCCCTCCCTCCCCCACCAAGAGCCCCTCCCCACCTCACATCCCGTTGAACAATTACCAGGCCCTACCTCTACAGCCCGTCCACCAAACCTACACTCCCGCCCCGCTCCTGCACCTCCACAGGGCCATGGGAGCGGACCAGCCCACTCACCCCCATTCTGCCCCTCCCGTGCTGTGTCCCCCTCCCAGGTGGCGGCGGCCGCGATCGCTACTGGGAGGGGGGCCGTCGGGTTGAGGGATGCGCCCATGGCAGACGCCACCGACTCCCCCTCCCATCCCTCCCACCCCTTCCATGTCGACGACCCCCTACCGCAACCCATGGTGATTGGGGAGGGCCAAGGGGGCCTTCTAGGGCAGGGTCCACACCCGAGCTCCGCTCAGCCAGCACGCCCCACTCCACCCTCTACCCTGCCAGCCCTCCTACTCTCACCTACAGGCAGGCAGGTCTTCGAGACCCCAGAGGAGGTGAGGGCTGGCATTTCAGATTTGCTGGCGATACACCGCCTGAGCAGCTCTCCGGCTGCCCCCACCCTTCCAGTCCCACAGGACCGGACCCGGACGTATGCGGAGGTCACCCGGTCTGTCCCTTCTTTTATCCCCCCCGCCACTCAGCCAGGCGCGTCACTCCCGACCCCAATGGAGACGGACCGGGGTCTGAGGCCGTGTCACTCGCACCTAGACGGGGTGGCGCCTCCCCCCGTTCAGCCCGTGGCGCAGGAGGTCACCAGCAGTAGGGATGAGGCATCCGCCCCTACCGAGACCCCTCCGCCTGGGGTAGCAGAGCCGTCACTTGAACCGCACCCCGCCGAGGGGCAGGAGCACACCACGGCACACACTTCAGGCTCACCTCCACGTCCCCCCTCCCCAGCTTCAACACCGGTGCCGGCACGAGGCCCGGCCCTATCCTGTGCGACACCACCTCTATCTTCGCTGACACCCCCCCCGCGCGGGGCTGGTGAGTCGTCTCCTCCCCTCATCCCAGGCGATCCTGTCGGAGCTCAGGCCGCCCACGGGGTCCCCTCTACAGCCAGTTCCGACGCCACGGCCCCGATTGACCCCGCCGACACGGCGACATCACCCGACCAGGTCGTGAGTTGCCCCACCTGCAGGAGCTCTCTCGCGAACCGACGCGCGCTCCAGCACCACATTCCCTTCTGCCATCCTGCGGACGCGGCTCGCAGGGCGCAGGCTGCCCATGATACCGCCTCGATCATCCCTTCCCTCTCACAGCCCCGTGCGACCGGGATGCAGTTCACCGACGCACAGTGGCAGACGCTCGACTCGGTGGACTGGACAGAGTACTTCTCGCCCGAGCGTATCCATACACGCCCTCTCCGACGTGTCCCGGAGAGGGTCCGCGGAGGATATCTTGACGTCCTCAGTGCGATCCTAGTCCGCATTGCCCAGGACCCGGAGGCTGCTGGCCCTACCTTCCTCCTCGCTGCAGCGCCGACTCTTTTCCTTGTTCCAGCGACGCCACCCGACCGCTCGCACACGGCTGCCATTGCAACGCGCATCTCTCGCTTTGGTCGAGGTGAGTGGGCTGAGCTAGTCTCAGATGCACTAGGCCGTCGCACACCCCTTCCTCGCCGCACAGGTCACCGGTCACGCACCGCCACCGATCCCTCTGCAGCAGATGAGCGCCGCATTGCACGTTGCCTTCGTCTGGCAGCGTGCAATGAGACCTCACGGGCGTGCGCGGCTCTCGAGTCCGCGGAGGCAGCCCCAGATACACAGGGGACGATACAGCGCCTGCAGTCGAAGCACCCCAACGCGGAGAGGCCGACCCCAGCTTGGCTGTCTGGCTTCCAGGGGTCCCCTCTCGTGCTCTCGGTGGATCACTTACGCCGCGCGATTTTCACAGCTCCGCGGGGCTCTTCGGGAGGACCGTCCGGTTGGGTCGCTGAGCACCTGCGAGACACTTTCCTAGCTTTCCCTCAGAGTCTCCATTTCCTCCTGGCCGTGTACCAGCAGTGGCTCCGAGGCCGTTGCGCTCCAGCTGCGCGCTCCTTGCTAGCGTCCTCCACCCTCGTGGCTCTGGCGAAGTCGAACATGGATGTTCGGCCGATTGCCATCGGCGAGGTTTTGGTCCGCATTCTTTCTCGGGCAGTTTGTCTCCAGCTACGTGACCAGATGGCGAGGGTCTTCTTGGCATCACAGCAGTTTGGGGTGGGGGTTACGTGCGGGACAGAGGTCGTAGTTAGAGGCGTCCGCCGCGCTCTGGCTGACCACCCAGACTGGGTGGTCCTGCAGCTAGACGTGGCGAATGCCTTTAACTCTTTCCACCGAGACAGGATGTTTCAGGCGCTGCAGGCCAGTCCGGAGTTTCAGTGTCTGATCCCCTTCATCGGCCTCTTCTACGGGACGCCCTCGGATCTCCACTACAGGTCAGGCACGGGAGTGGTCACGATGCACTCGGAGCGGGGCACTCGCCAGGGAGACCCTCTCAGCCCCTTCTTGTACGCTCTGACACAGCGTCTTGCTTTGGAGCCGGTTCTGGCGGAGGGGGATGTCCAGCTCTGGTCGTACGCCGATGACACGTACGTGCTAGGTCCCCCAGACAGGGTGCTGCACCATTTTGCCGAGATCGTGAGGCGCTTGGGCGAGATGGGCCTTGCAGCCCAGCCGCACAAGTGCCTCGTCTACCAGACAGAGTCCTTTCTGTCCAGGGATCTGGAGGCTTTCACGGGCCTAGGGATCGAGGTCGCACGCCGAGGGCTCACCGTGACAGGCGTACCGGTAGGCACCGTTTCGTTCGTGGAGCAGAGTCTCCCGGATCGTCTCGAGAGGATGGGGCGGGTGCTACCTTGGCTTCCGAGGTTGCGCCAGCCCCAGACAGCTGCCCGCCTTCTTTCGGCGTGTGTCAGCACTCGTCCGCAGTACCTGTCGAGGACCGTCCCTCCTTCGCCCGCAGTGATCTCCAGTTTTACACGGTGGGACGCACGCCTGGGAGAGACTTTTCAGCAGCTTTTAGCTTCAGGGACCTGGGCTTGTCGCGAGGACGTCCGAGAGGCCGCCCTAGACCAGATCTTCCTCCCCATCCGTCTCGGGGGTTTCGGCATTCGTCGCATGGCGCGCATGGCCCCGGTGAGTTTCGTGTGCTCCTGGGTGCAGTGTGCACCCATTCTCTGTTCTCTCCCTGCGTGTGGCGAGGTGTTTCGGCAGAGCTTCGCTTCAGGTGAGCCAGAGCAGATCGACCGGGCTCTGCAGACGGCGCTAGAGGGTCTCCCTCCTGACGTTCTCTCTCTCCTTCCCCCCTGGCCCTCTTGCGCTTCTGCCTCCCCCGATTCCCTTTTTGCAGGAGCGAGCCGTCTTCTGGAGGCGCATGCCTTGGAGGCCGTGCGTGCCCGTCACACCTCTCCCTTGCACCTTGCCCGTTTGACTTCCCTTCAGGGCGGAGGTGCAGGAGCGTGGTTGACGTCGGTGCCGTACGCCGACCCACTGCGCATCCCGGAGGCGCTGTGGCAGGCGGCTTCATCTTCTCGTCTTGGTCTCCCTATCCCCCAGTTAGCCCTTGCAGGTCAGTGCTCCTGCGGACAGGCGATTGACGACATGACGGTGCCTCATCACGCGGTTCGGTGCCCGCGTTACGGGGTCGCCACTACCATCCACGACACGGTGAAGTACATGCTTCGAGACTTTGCGGTCGAGGCGGGCTTCGCGGTAAAGGTGGAGGACTCTACGCTGTTCACACAGTTGGAGGCGGCTCGAGCGAGACTACTGGGACAGCCAGTGGTGGGAGAGGGGACACGGGCTGAGGGACCGGGGGAGCGGAGAGGCGAGGCGGGACAGCCGGGTGGCGGGGGACAGTGGGGACGGCACCAGCTGCGGGGTCAGGTGGAGCGAGGGACAGGTGGGCAGAGGGGACGGCAGGGGGAGCAGACGGGCCAGGACGGGGAGGGGGGACGGCACAGGCAGCAGCAGGAGAGCCAGTGGAGGCCGCGGGCCCAGGGCGCCGCGCCTCCAGGTTCGGCCTCGGGGGCGGGGCAGGGGCGGGAGCAGCAGAGAGCGGACGGAGGTACAGGAGGGGCAGCGGGATTGGGAGGGGAGGGCCAGGGAGTGAGAGAGGCAGCAGGGGATGGAGCAGGGGGGTCGGGAGGTTTGGGGGAGGGTAGGGAGGGGGAGGGGAGAGGACAGGTGGATGGAGGAGAGGAGAGGGGGAGAGAGACGATCGGAGAGGGGGCACCAAGGGACCAGACAGGGCAGCAGCCAGCGCAACAGCAGGGACCAGTCGGACGCACAGGCCGTGTAGGCACCGCCTCCCGCATTCCAGACCTCACCTGCCGCGACGTTGGCCAGGGTCTGATGGTTCTTGTGGATGTCTCCATAGCGGATCCACAGCGGGAGGGGAACGTGCAGCTGAGACGGGCGACCCCCACACAGATTGGAGTGGCAGCAGCTAGGCGGGTGCAGGAGAAGCTGCGTCACTGGGGGCCGCACTTAGAGGGGCTGCAGCCGGCACCACACTTTTACGCGTGCGTGGCGGAGACCTTTGGCCTTCTGAGTGAGCCGCTGCGTCAGTTTCTGGGGCTCTGCGCAAAGAGGATAGCACAGCGGAGGAGGGATAGAGGTGGGGGGGATGACGGATCGGCACGGATATTTGAGGCAGGACTCACTACACGCCTCTCCGTTGCACTGCAGCGCGCGCAGGCTCAATGCATGATCCAGCATGCGGTGCGGCAGTTAGGGAGGTCCGACGACGGGTGGATGCCCGCACCAGTCCCACTGGGTGCGGGGCAGGGAACTTGGCACCACGTCACAGGGTGCTTCGAGAGTGTGGCTGATATGCAGTATATATATGATGCATATGTGTAAAAAACAATAGTGGCTGTGCTTGAAACGCTGTGCCCGTGCGGTCGTGCGGGTTGCTGCCGTGTTTGGTCCTTTGGTGCTTCCTTCTCCTTAGTCTCTCTCTCTCTCTCCTCTTCTCTTCCCACCTCCCTCTTTCTGTTCCCTTCTTCTATCCTTCCCTTCTCTTCCTACCACCCTCTTCCTTTCCCTACCACTTCTTCTTACTCCTTCATCTTTCCTTCCTTTCCTTTCTTTCCCCCTTTTCCTACAAAATATATAAATCGTCCTCATAGCGCTTAGGCTATGTCGAAATTTCCTAGTCTTGGAAAAACCATTATATTCGGCTTGTATTTGCTCTTCCCTTATTAATGAATAACTGCTCTCGCCCACCGGCGCTTAGCTTCGGAGTTCTGATGGGATCCGGCGTAGTAGCCGAGGTATGATCGTACCACGTCAACCTCGTGCCCCGACCGCTACACACCCCTTGCCCGGGTCCCCCCCTTCATAGTCACACCCCCTGCCCCTCATGCCATCCGCTCCCCCCCGCCCCTACCCTCCGCGTGCCCGCTCCCTTGCCGCCTCTTTTGACCCTCCCTGCCCCCCTCGCCGTTTCCCACCGCCCGCCATTCGCTCCTCCCCGCCCGTGCGCTCCCCTCCTTTACCTTCTCCTCCCCCCTCCCCTCCTCTGCTGCACGCCTCTTCCTTCCCCTCGCCGACCCACTCCACTCCCTGCCCCTCCTCAATCCGCACCCTGCCCCTCGTATCTCGCCCCCCTATGCTTGGTTTCTCCCCTCCCTGCCCCTCGCCGCCTTTCCCCGCTCCCCACCTCCCCCCTCTCCCTGCCCCCCCCACTCTCCCCCCCCCCTTGTCCTTGGCTTCCTACCTCCCTGCCTCACCTTTCCCCCCTCCGTGTGCTCAGCTTCTCCCCTCCCTGCCCCTCCCTCCTCCCCGCCCTGCCCCTCATTTTCCGCCCCCCCCCCCCCCCACGCCCGGTTTCTCCCCTCCCCGCGCCTCCCTTTCTTTCTCCGTGCCTCTCCTTTGCTCCCTCCCTGCCCCCGCCTGCCCATGCCCCTGTCTTTGGCTTCTCCCCTCCCTGCCCCACGTTTCTTCCCTCCCTGCCCCCCGTCTGCCCCTCCCTTGTTTTCCCCTCACCCATTGCTTCTCTCCTCCCTGCCCTTGATTTCCCACACCCCTGCCCTCGTTTCCTATCATCCATGCCCCTCGTTTCCCCCCTTTGTACGTTCAGCCTCTTCCCTCCCTGCCCCTCCCTTCCTCCCCCCCTGCCCTTTGCTCTCCCCTCGTTACGCTCCCTTCTCCCCATCCCTGCTGCCCTCTTACCACCATCAGCCCATCCCCACGACCAGCCCCCCTCCCACCCTTCAATCCCCCCCTCCCTCTCTCTCTCTCTCTCTCTCTCTCTCTCTCTCTCTCTTTCTCACACACACACACACACGCACACTCCCCTCCCCCACCCCCCCCCACCTACATCCTCCCATTCTGCCCCTCCCTGCCCCTTTCCCACCCCCTCGCACGCCCCTCACCTCCCACCTCCGTGCAACTGGTTTCCCCCCTATGGTGCCACCCTTGCATCGCTCGCCCCTCTGCTCACCCTCTGCCCGCCCCTTTTCCGTGCCCTCAGTTGGCCCAGCCCCTGCCCGTTGCTGCCCCTCCCCTTGCCCCCTCAACTCCCCTGCCCCCCGTACACCCCAAGTCCCATCCAACCGCCCCCACCCTCCCCCGGCTGCCCGTTTCCGCTCTCCACCCCCGCGACCGTGTGCGGCTTCCAACCGCCCAACGGTGGTGCGCACGGGGCGTTTCTTCGCATGGGCAAGCCTCCCCGGGGGCCCCCCACCCCGCTGGGTCGTTGTTTGGGCAAAAAAAACGAAAAGAAAAGAATCGGACGCGCTAAAATCGTCCTTTCTTTTTCCCGCTTGCCCCTCCCCCGGCACGTGCCGAGCAAGGGGCATAAATGGGTACAACACGAGGACTTCCCGGGAGGTCACCCAGCCCAGTACTGCTCTCGCCCACCGATAGTGGCTGTGCTTGAAACGCTGTGCCCGTGCGGTCGTGCGGGTTGCTGCCGTGTTTTGGTCCTTTGGTGCTTCCTCCTCCTTAGTCTCTCTCCCTCTCTCCTCTTTTCTTCCCACCTCCCTCTTTCTGTTCCCTTCTTCTATCCTTCCCTTCTCTTCCTACCGCCCTCTTCTTTTCCCTACCACTTCTTCTTACTCCTTCATCCTTCCTTCCTTTCCTTTCTTTCCCCCTTTTCCTACAAAATATATATACCGTCCTCATAGCGATTAGGCTATGTCGAAATTTCCTAGTCTTGGAAAAACCATTATATTCGGCTTGTATTTGCTCTTCCCCTATTAATGAATAACTGCTCTCGCCCACCGGCGCTTAGCTTCGGAGTTCTGATGGGATCCGGCGTAGTAGCCGAGGTATGATCGTACCACGTCAACCTCGTGCCCCGACCGCTACACACCCCTTGCCCGGGTCCCCCCCTTCATAGTCACACCCCCTGCCCCCTCATGCCATCCGCTCCCCCCGCCCCTACCCTCCGCGTGCCCGCTCCCTTGCCGCCTCTTTTGACCCTCCCTGCCCCCCCTCGCCGTTTCCCACCGCCCGCCATTCGCTCCTCCCCGCCCGTGCGCTCCCCTCCTTTACCTTCTCCTCCCCCCTCCCCTCCTCTGCTGCACGCCTCTTCCTTCCCCTCGCCGACCCACTCCACTCCCTGCCCCTCCTCAATCCGCACCCTGCCCCTCGTATCTCGCCCCCCTATGCTTGGTTTCTCCCCTCCCTGCCCCTCGCCGCCTTTCCCCGCTCCCCACCTCCCCCCTCTCCCTGCCCCCCCCCACTCTCCCCCCCCCCTTGTCCTTGGCTTCCTACCTCCCTGCCTCACCTTTCCCCCCTCCGTGTGCTCAGCTTCTCCCCTCCCTGCCCCTCCCTCCTCCCCGCCCTGCCCCTCATTTTCCGCCCCCCCCCCCCCACGCCCGGTTTCTCCCCTCCCCGCGCCTCCCTTTCTTTCTCCGTGCCTCTCCTTTGCTCCCTCCCTGCCCCCGCCTGCCCATGCCCCTGTCTTTGGCTTCTCCCCTCCCTGCCCCACGTTTCTTCCCTCCCTGCCCCCCGTCTGCCCCTCCCTTGTTTTCCCCTCACCCATTGCTTCTCTCCTCCCTGCCCTTGATTTCCCACACCCCTGCCCTCGTTTCCTATCATCCATGCCCCTCGTTTCCCCCCTTTGTACGTTCAGCCTCTTCCCTCCCTGCCCCTCCCTTCCTCCCCCCCTGCCCTTTGCTCTCCCCTCGTTACGCTCCCTTCTCCCCATCCCTGCTGCCCTCTTACCACCATCAGCCCATCCCCACGACCAGCCCCCCTCCCACCCTTCAATCCCCCCCTCCCTCTCTCTCTCTCTCTCTCTCTCTCTCTCTCTCTCTTTCTCACACACACACACACACGCACACTCCCCTCCCCCATCCCCCCCCCACCTACATCCTCCCATTCTGCCCCTCCCTGCCCCTTTCCCACCCCCTCGCACGCCCCTCACCTCCCACCTCCGTGCAACTGGTTTCCCCCCTATGGTGCCACCCTTGCATCGCTCGCCCCTCTGCTCACCCTCTGCCCGCCCCTTTTCCGTGCCCTCAGTTGGCCCAGCCCCTGCCCGTTGCTGCCCCTCCCCTTGCCCCCTCAACTCCCCTGCCCCCTGTACACCCCAAGTCCCATCCAACCGCCCCCACCCTCCCCCGGCTGCCCGTTTCCGCTCTCCACCCCCGCGACCGTGTGCGGCTTCCAACCGCCCAACGGTGGTGCGCACGGGGCGTTTCTTCGCATGGGCAAGCCTCCCCGGGGGCCCCCCACCCCGCTGGGTCGTTGTTTGGGCAAAAAAAACGAAAAGAAAAGAATCGGACGCGCTAAAATCGTCCTTTCTTTTTCCCGCTTGCCCCTCCCCCGGCACGTGCCGAGCAAGGGGCATAAATGGGTACAACACGAGGACTTCCCGGGAGGTCACCCAGCCCAGTACTGCTCTCGCCCACCGGCGCTTAGCTTCGGAGTTCTGATGGGATCCGGCGTAGTAGCCTGAGGTATGATCGTACCACGTCAACCTCGTGCCCCGACCGCTACACACCCCTTGCCCGGGTCCCCCCCTTCATAGTCACACCCCCTGCCCCCTCATGCCATCCGCTCCCCCCGCCCCTACCCTCCGCGTGCCCGCTCCCTTGCCGCCTCTTTTGACCCTCCCTGCCCCCCCTCGCCGTTTCCCACCGCCCGCCATTCGCTCCTCCCCGCCCGTGCGCTCCCCTCCTTTACCTTCTCCTCCCCCCTCCCCTCCTCTGCTGCACGCCTCTTCCTTCCCCTCGCCGACCCACTCCACTCCCTGCCCCTCCTCAATCCGCACCCTGCCCCTCGTATCTCGCCCCCCTATGCTTGGTTTCTCCCCTCCCTGCCCCTCGCCGCCTTTCCCCGCTCCCCACCTCCCCCCTCTCCCTGCCCCCCCCACTCTCCCCCCCCCCTTGTCCTTGGCTTCCTACCTCCCTGCCTCACCTTTCCCCCCTCCGTGTGCTCAGCTTCTCCCCTCCCTGCCCCTCCCTCCTCCCCGCCCTGCCCCTCATTTTCCGCCCCCCCCCCCCCACGCCCGGTTTCTCCCCTCCCCGCGCCTCCCTTTCTTTCTCCGTGCCTCTCCTTTGCTCCCTCCCTGCCCCCGCCTGCCCATGCCCCTGTCTTTGGCTTCTCCCCTCCCTGCCCCACGTTTCTTCCCTCCCTGCCCCCCGTCTGCCCCTCCCTTGTTTTCCCCTCACCCATTGCTTCTCTCCTCCCTGCCCTTGATTTCCCACACCCCTGCCCTCGTTTCCTATCATCCATGCCCCTCGTTTCCCCCCTTTGTACGTTCAGCCTCTTCCCTCCCTGCCCCTCCCTTCCTCCCCCCTGCCCTTTGCTCTCCCCTCGTTACGCTCCCTTCTCCCCATCCCTGCTGCCCTCTTACCACCATCAGCCCATCCCCACGACCAGCCCCCCTCCCACCCTTCAATCCCCCCCTCCCTCTCTCTCTCTCTCTCTCTCTCTCTCTTTCTCACACGCACACACACACGCACACTCCCCTCCCCCACCCCCCCCCACCTACATCCTCCCATTCTGCCCCTCCCTGCCCCTTTCCCACCCCCTCGCACGCCCCTCACCTCCCACCTCCGTGCAACTGGTTTCCCCCCTATGGTGCCACCCTTGCATCGCTCGCCCCTCTGCTCACCCTCTGCCCGCCCCTTTTCCGTGCCCTCAGTTGGCCCAGCCCCTGCCCGTTGCTGCCCCTCCCCTTGCCCCCTCAACTCCCCTGCCCCCCGTACACCCCAAGTCCCATCCAACCGCCCCCACCCTCCCCCGGCTGCCCGTTTCCGCTCTCCACCCCCGCGACCGTGTGCGGCTTCCAACCGCCCAACGGTGGTGCGCACGGGGCGTTTTCTTCGCATGGGCAAGCCTCCCCGGGGGCCCCCCACCCCGCTGGGTCGTTGTTTGGGCAAAAAAAACGAAAAGAAAAGAATCGGACGCGCTAAAATCGTCCTTTCTTTTCCCGCTTGCCCCTCCCCCGGCACGTGCCGAGCAAGGGGCATAAATGGGTACAACACGAGGACTTCCCGGGAGGTCACCCAGCCCAGTACTGCTCTCGCCCACCGATAGTGGCTGTGCTTGAAACGCTGTGCCCGTGCGGTCGTGCGGGTTGCTGCCGTGTTTTGGTCCTTTGGTGCTTCCTCCTCCTTAGTCTCTCTCCCTCTCTCCTCTTTTCTTCCCACCTCCCTCTTTCTGTTCCCTTCTTCTATCCTTCCCTTCTCTTCCTACCGCCCTCTTCTTTTCCCTACCACTTCTTCTTACTCCTTCATCCTTCCTTCCTTTCCTTTCTTTCCCCCTTTTCCTACAAAATATATATACCGTCCTCATAGCGATTAGGCTATGTCGAAATTTCCTAGTCTTGGAAAAACCATTATATTCGGCTTGTATTTGCTCTTCCCCTATTAATGAATAACTGCTCTCGCCCACCGGCGCTTAGCTTCGGAGTTCTGATGGGATCCGGCGTAGTAGCCGAGGTATGATCGTACCACGTCAACCTCGTGCCCCGACCGCTACACACCCCTTGCCCGGGTCCCCCCCTTCATAGTCACACCCCCTGCCCCCTCATGCCATCCGCTCCCCCCGCCCCTACCCTCCGCGTGCCCGCTCCCTTGCCGCCTCTTTTGACCCTCCCTGCCCCCCCTCGCCGTTTCCCACCGCCCGCCATTCGCTCCTCCCCGCCCGTGCGCTCCCCTCCTTTACCTTCTCCTCCCCCCTCCCCTCCTCTGCTGCACGCCTCTTCCTTCCCCTCGCCGACCCACTCCACTCCCTGCCCCTCCTCAATCCGCACCCTGCCCCTCGTATCTCGCCCCCCTATGCTTGGTTTCTCCCCTCCCTGCCCCTCGCCGCCTTTCCCCGCTCCCCACCTCCCCCCTCTCCCTGCCCCCCCCCACTCTCCCCCCCCCTTGTCCTTGGCTTCCTACCTCCCTGCCTCACCTTTCCCCCCTCCGTGTGCTCAGCTTCTCCCCTCCCTGCCCCTCCCTCCTCCCCGCCCTGCCCCTCATTTTCCGCCCCCCCCCCCCCCACGCCCGGTTTCTCCCTCCCCGCGCCTCCCTTTCTTTCTCCGTGCCTCTCCTTTGCTCCCTCCCTGCCCCCGCCTGCCCATGCCCCTGTCTTTGGCTTCTCCCCTCCCTGCCCCACGTTTCTTCCCTCCCTGCCCCCCGTCTGCCCCTCCCTTGTTTTCCCCTCACCCATTGCTTCTCTCCTCCCTGCCCTTGATTTCCCACACCCCTGCCCTCGTTTCCTATCATCCATGCCCCTCGTTTCCCCCCTTTGTACGTTCAGCCTCTTCCCTCCCTGCCCCTCCCTTCCTCCCCCCCTGCCCTTTGCTCTCCCCTCGTTACGCTCCCTTCTCCCCATCCCTGCTGCCCTCTTACCACCATCAGCCCATCCCCACGACCAGCCCCCCTCCCACCCTTCAATCCCCCCCTCCCTCTCTCTCTCTCTCTCTCTCTCTCTCTCTCTCTCTTTCTCACACACACACACACACGCACACTCCCCTCCCCCACCCCCCCCCACCTACATCCTCCCATTCTGCCCCTCCCTGCCCCTTTCCCACCCCCTCGCACGCCCCTCACCTCCCACCTCCGTGCAACTGGTTTCCCCCCTATGGTGCCACCCTTGCATCGCTCGCCCCTCTGCTCACCCTCTGCCCGCCCCTTTTCCGTGCCCTCAGTTGGCCCAGCCCCTGCCCGTTGCTGCCCTCCCCTTGCCCCCTCAACTCCCCTGCCCCCCGTACACCCCAAGTCCCATCCAACCGCCCCCACCCTCCCCCGGCTGCCCGTTTCCGCTCTCCACCCCCGCGACCGTGTGCGGCTTCCAACCGCCCAACGGTGGTGCGCACGGGGCGTTTCTTCGCATGGGCAAGCCTCCCCGGGGGCCCCCCACCCCGCTGGGGTCGTTGTTTGGGCAAAAAAACGAAAAGAAAAGAATCGGACGCGCTAAAATCGTCCTTTCTTTTTCCCGCTTGCCCCTCCCCCGGCACGTGCCGAGCAAGGGGCATAAATGGGTACAACACGAGGACTTCCCGGGAGGTCACCCAGCCCAGTACTGCTCTCGCCCACCGATAGTGGCTGTGCTTGAAAACGCTGTGCCCGTGCGGTCCGTGCGGGTTGCTGCCGTGTTTTGGTCCTTTGGTGCTTCCTCCTCCTTAGTCTCTCTCCCTCTCTCCTCTTTTCTTCCCACCTCCCTCTTTCTGTTCCCTTCTTCTATCCTTCCCTTCTCTTCCTACCGCCCTCTTCTTTTCCCTACCCTTCTTCTTTACTCCTTCATCCTTCCTTCCTTCCTTTCTTTCCCCCTTTCCTACAAAATATATATACCGTCCTCATAGCGATTAGGCTATGTCGAAATTTCCTAGTCTTGGAAAAACCATTATATTCGGCTTGTATTTGCTCTTCCCCTATTAATGAATAACTGCTCTCGCCCACCGGCGCTTAGCTTCGGAGTTCTGATGGGATCCGGCGTAGTAGCCGAGGTATGATCGTACCACGTCAACCTCGTGCCCCGACCGCTACACACCCCTTGCCCGGGTCCCCCCTTCATAGTCACACCCCCTGCCCCCTCATGCCATCCGCTCCCCCCGCCCCTACCCTCCGCGTGCCCGCTCCCTTGCCGCCTCTTTTGACCCTCCCTGCCCCCCCTCGCCGTTTCCCACCCGCCCGCCATTCGCTCCTCCCCGCCCGTGCGCTCCCCTCCTTTACCTTCTCCTCCCCCCTCCCCTCCTCTGCTGCACGCCTCTTCCTTCCCCTCGCCGACCCACTCCACTCCCTGCCCCTCCTCAATCCGCACCCTGCCCCTCGTATCTCGCCCCCCTATGCTTGGTTTCTCCCCTCCCTGCCCCTCGCCGCCTTTCCCCGCTCCCCACCTCCCCCCTCTCCCTGCCCCCCCCACTCTCCCCCCCCCCTTGTCCTTGGCTTCCTACCTCCCTGCCTCACCTTTCCCCCCTCCGTGTGCTCAGCTTCTCCCCTCCCTGCCCCTCCCTCCTCCCCGCCCTGCCCCTCATTTTCCGCCCCCCCCCCCCCCACGCCCGGTTTCTCCCCTCCCCGCGCCTCCCTTTCTTTCTCCGTGCCTCTCCTTTGCTCCCTCCCTGCCCCCGCCTGCCCATGCCCCTGTCTTTGGCTTCTCCCCTCCCTGCCCCACGTTTCTTCCCTCCCTGCCCCCCGTCTGCCCCTCCCTTGTTTTCCCCTCACCCATTGCTTCTCTCCTCCCTGCCCTTGATTTCCCACACCCCTGCCCTCGTTTCCTATCATCCATGCCCCTCGTTTCCCCCCTTTGTACGTTCAGCCTCTTCCCTCCCTGCCCCTCCCTTCCTCCCCCCCTGCCCTTTGCTCTCCCCTCGTTACGCTCCCTTCTCCCCATCCCTGCTGCCCTCTTACCACCATCAGCCCATCCCCACGACCAGCCCCCCTCCCACCCTTCAATCCCCCCCTCCCTCTCTCTCTCTCTCTCTCTCTCTCTCTCTCTCTCTCTTCTCACACACACACACACACGCACACTCCCCTCCCCCACCCCCCCCCACCTACATCCTCCCATTCTGCCCCTCCCTGCCCCTTTCCCACCCCCTCGCACGCCCCTCACCTCCCACCTCCGTGCAACTGGTTTCCCCCCTATGGTGCCACCCTTGCATCGCTCGCCCCCTCTGCTCACCCTCTGCCCGCCCCTTTTCCGTGCCCTCAGTTGGCCCAGCCCCTGCCCGTTGCTGCCCCTCCCCTTGCCCCCTCAACTCCCCTGCCCCCCGTACACCCCCAAGTCCCATCCAACCGCCCCCACCCTCCCCCGGCTGCCCGTTTCCGCTCTCCACCCCCGCGACCGTGTGCGGCTTCCAACCGCCCAACGGTGGTGCGCACGGGGCGTTTCTTCGCATGGGCAAGCCTCCCCGGGGGCCCCCCACCCCGCTGGGTCGTTGTTTGGGCAAAAAAAACGAAAAGAAAAGAATCGGACGCGCTAAAATCGTCCTTTCTTTTTCCCGCTTGCCCCTCCCCCGGCACGTGCCGAGCAAGGGGCATAAATGGGTACAACACGAGGACTTCCCGGGAGGTCACCCAGCCCAGTACTGCTCTCGCCCACCGATAGTGGCTGTGCTTGAAACGCTGTGCCCGTGCGGTCGTGCGGGTTGCTGCCGTGTTTGGTCCTTTGGTGCTTCCTCCTCCTTAGTCTCTCTCCCTCTCTCCTCTTTTCTTCCCACCTCCCTCTTTCTGTTCCCTTCTTCTATCCTTCCCTTCTCTTCCTACCGCCCTCTTCTTTTCCCTACCACTTCTTCTTACTCCTTCATCCTTCCTTCCTTTCCTTTCTTTCCCCCTTTTCCTACAAAATATATATACCGTCCTCATAGCGATTAGGCTATGTCGAAATTTCCTAGTCTTGGAAAAACCATTATATTCGGCTTGTATTTGCTCTTCCCCTATTAATGAATAACTGCTCTCGCCCACCGGCGCTTAGCTTCGGAGTTCTGATGGGATCCGGCGTAGTAGCCGAGGTATGATCGTACCACGTCAACCTCGTGCCCCGACCGCTACACACCCTTGCCCGGGTCCCCCCCTTCATAGTCACACCCCCTGCCCCCTCATGCCATCCGCTCCCCCCGCCCCTACCCTCCGCGTGCCCGCTCCCTTGCCGCCTCTTTTGACCCTCCCTGCCCCCCTCGCCGTTTCCCACCGCCCGCCATTCGCTCCTCCCCGCCCGTGCGCTCCCCTCCTTTACCTTCTCCTCCCCCCTCCCCTCCTCTGCTGCACGCCTCTTCCTTCCCCTCGCCGACCCACTCCACTCCCTGCCCTCCTCAATCCGCACCCTGCCCCTCGTATCTCGCCCCCCTATGCTTGGTTTCTCCCCTCCCTGCCCCTCGCCGCCTTTCCCCGCTCCCCACCTCCCCCTCTCCCTGCCCCCCCACTCTCCCCCCCCCTTGTCCTTGGCTTCCTACCTCCCTGCCTCACCTTTCCCCCCTCCGTGTGCTCAGCTTCTCCCCTCCCTGCCCCTCCCTCCTCCCCGCCCTGCCCCTCATTTTCCGCCCCCCCCCCACGCCCGGTTTCTCCCCTCCCCGCGCCTCCCTTTCTTTCTCCGTGCCTCTCCTTTGCTCCCTCCCTGCCCCCGCCTGCCCATGCCCCTGTCTTTGGCTTCTCCCCTCCCTGCCCCACGTTTCTTCCCTCCTGCCCCCCGTCTGCCCCTCCCTTGTTTTCCCCTCACCCATTGCTTCTCTCCTCCCTGCCCTTGATTTCCCACACCCCTGCCCTCGTTTCCTATCATCCATGCCCCTCGTTTCCCCCCCTTTGTACGTTCAGGCCTCTTCCCTCCCTGCCCCTCCCTTCCTCCCCCCTGCCCTTTGCTCTCCCCTCGTTACGCTCCCTTCTCCCCATCCCTGCTGCCCTCTTACCACCATCAGCCCATCCCCACGACCAGCCCCCCTCCCACCCTTCAATCCCCCCTCCCTCTCTCTCTCTCTCTCTCTCTCTCTCTCTCTCTCTTTCTCACACACACACACACACGCACACTCCCCTCCCCCACCCCCCCCACCTACATCCTCCCATTCTGCCCCTCCCTGCCCCTTTCCCACCCCCTCGCACGCCCCTCACCTCCCACCTCCGTGCAACTGGTTTCCCCCCTATGGTGCCACCCTTGCATCGCTCGCCCCTCTGCTCACCCTCTGCCCGCCCCTTTTCCGTGCCCTCAGTTGGCCCAGCCCCTGCCCGTTGCTGCCCCTCCCCTTGCCCCCTCAACTCCCCTGCCCCCCGTACACCCCAAGTCCCATCCAACCGCCCCCACCCTCCCCCGGCTGCCCGTTTCCGCTCTCCACCCCCGCGACCGTGTGCGGCTTCCAACCGCCCAACGGTGGTGCGCACGGGGCGTTTCTTCGCATGGGGCAAGCCTCCCCGGGGGCCCCCCACCCCGCTGGGTCGTTGTTTGGGGCAAAAAAAACGAAAAGAAAAGAATCGGGACAGCGCTAAAATCGTCCTTTCTTTTCCCGCTTGCCCCTCCCCCGGCACGTGCCGAGCAAGGGGCATAAATGGGTACAACACGAGGACTTCCCGGGAGGTCACCCAGCCCAGTACTGCTCTCGCCCACCGGCGCTTAGCTTCGGAGTTCTGATGGGATCCGGCTAATAGCTGAGGTATGATCGTACCACGTCAACCTCGTGCCCGCCGACCCGCCGGGTCCCCCCCTTCATAGTCACAACCCCCTGCCCCCTCATGCCATCCGCTCCACCCCGCCCCTACCCTCCGCGTTGCCCGCTCCCTTTGCCGCCTCTTTTGACCCTCCCTGCCCCCCCTCGCCGGTTCCACCCGCCCGCCATTCGCTCCTCCCCGCCCGTGCGCTCCCCTCCTTTACCTTCTCCTCCCCCCTCCCCTCCTCTGCTGCACGCCTCTTCCTTCCCCTCGCCGACCACTCCACTCCCTGCCCCTCCTCAATCCGCACCCTGCCCCTCGTATCTCGCCCCCCTATGCTTGGTTCTCCCCTCCCTGCCCCTCGCCGCCTTTCCCCGCTCCCCACCTCCCCCCTCTCCCTGCCCCCCCCCACTCTCACCTTTCCCCCCTCCGTGTGCTCAGCTTCTCCCCTCCCTGCCCCCTCCCTCCTCCCCGCCCTGCCCTCATTTTCCGCCCCCCCCCACGCCCGGTTTCTCCCCTCCCCGCGCCTCCCTTTCTTTCTCCGTGCCTCTCCTTTGCTCCCTCCCTGCCCCCGCCTGCCCATGCCCCTGTCTTTGGCTTCTCCCCTCCCTGCCCCACGTTTCTTCCCTCCCTGCCCCCCGTCTGCCCCTCCCTGTTTCCCCCTCACCCCATTGCTTCTCTCCTCCCTGCCCTTGATTTCCCACACCCCTGCCCTCGTTTCCTATCATCCATGCCCCTCGTTTCCCCCCTTTGTACGTTCAGCCTCTTCCCTCCCTGCCCCTCCCTTCCTCCCCCCCTGCCCTTTGCTCTCCCCTCGTTACGCTCCCTCTCCCCCATCCCTGCTGCCCTCTTACCACATCAGCCCATCCCCACGACCAGCCCCCCTCCCACCCTTCAATCCCCCCCTCCTCTCTCTCTCTCTCTCTCTCTCTCTCTCTTTCTCTCACACACACACACACACGCACACTCCCCTCCCCCACCCCCCCCCACCTACATCCTCCCATTTCTGCCCTCCCTGCCCCTTTCCCACCCCCTCGCACGCCCCTCACCTCCCACCTCCGTGCAACTGGTTTCCACCCTATGGTGCCACCCTTGCATCGCTCGCCCCTCTGCTCACCCTCTGCCCGCCCCTTTCCGTGCCCTCAGTTGGCCCAGCCCCTGCCCGTTGCTGCCCCTCCCCTTGCCCCCTCAACTCCCCTGCCCCCCGTACACCCCAAGTCCCATCCAACCGCCCCCACCCTCCCCCGGCTGCCCGTTTCCGCTCTCCACCCCCGCGACCGTGTGCGGCTTCCAACCGCCCAACGGTGGTGCGCACGGGGCGTTTCTTCGCATGGGCAAGCCTCCCCGGGGGCCCCCCACCCCGCTGGGTCGTTGTTTGGGCAAAAAAAACGAAAAGAAAAGAATCGGACGCGCTAAAATCGTCCTTTCTTTTTCCCGCTTGCCCCTCCCCCGGGCACGTGCCGAGCAAGGGGCATAAATGGGTACAACACGAGGACTTCCCGGGAGGTCACCCAGCCCAGTACTGCTCTCGCCCACCGGCGCTTAGCTTCGGAGTTCTGATGGATCCGCTAATAGCCTGAGGTATGATCTTACCACTTCAACCTCGTGCCCCGACCGCCGGGTCCCCCCCTTCATAGTCACACACCCCTGCCCCCTCATGCCATCCGCTCCCCCCCGCCCCTACCCCCGCGTGCCCGCTCCCTTGCCGCCCGCCTCTTTTGACCCTCCCTGCCCCCCTCGCCGTTCCCACCGCCCGCCATTCGCTCCTCCCCGCCCGTGCGCTCCCCTCCTTTACCTTCTCCTCCCCCCTCCCCTCCTCTGCTGCACGCCTCTTCCTTCCCCTCGCCGACCCACTCCACTCCTGCCCCTCCTCAATCCGCACCCTGCCCTCGTATCTCGCCCCCCTATGCTTGGTTTCTCCCCTCCCTGCCCCTCGCCGCCTTTCCCCGCTCCCCACCTCCCCCCTCTCCCTGCCCCCCCCACTCTCCCCCCCCCTTGTCCTTGGCTTCCTACCTCCCTGCCTCACCTTTCCCCCCTCCGTGTGCTCAGCTTCTCCCTCCCTGCCCCTCCCTCCTCCCCGCCCTGCCCCTCATTTTCCGCCCCCCCCCCCCACCCCGGTTTCTCCCCTCCCCGCGCCTCCCTTTCTTCTCCGTGCCTCTCCTTTGCTCCCTCCCTGCCCCCGCCTGCCCATGCCCCTGTCTTTGGCTTCTCCCCTCCCTGCCCCACGTTTCTTCCCTCCCTGCCCCCGTCTGCCCCTCCCTTGTTTTCCCCTCACCCATTGCTTCTCTCCTCCCTGCCCTTGATTTCCCACACCCCCTGCCCTCGTTTCCTATCATCCATGCCCCTCTTTTCCCCCCTTTGTACGTTCAGCCTCTTCCTCCCTGCCCCTCCCTCTCCCCCCCCTGCCCTTTGCTCTCCCCTCGTTACGCTCCCTTCTCCCCATCCCTGCTGCCCTCTCCCACCATCAGCCCATCCCACGACCAGCCCCCCTCCCACCCTTCAATCCCCCCCTCCCTCTCTCTCTCTCTCTCTCTCTCTCTCTCTCTCTCTCTTTCTCACACACACACACACACGCACACTCCCCTCCCCCACCCCCCCCCACCTACATCCTCCCATTCTGCCCCTCCCTGCCCCTTTCCCACCCCCTCGCACGCCCCTCACCTCCCACCTCCGTGCAACTGGTTTCCCCCCTATGGTGCCACCCTTGCATCGCTCGCCCCTCTGCTCACCCTCTGCCCGCCCCTTTTCCGTGCCCTCAGTTGGCCCAGCCCCTGCCCGTTGCTGCCCCTCCCCTTGCCCCCTCAACTCCCCTGCCCCCCGTACACCCCAAGTCCCATCCAACCGCCCCCACCCTCCCCCGCTGCCCGTTTCCGCTCTCTCCACCCCCGCGACCGTGTGCGGCTTCCAACCGCCCAACGGTGGTGCGCACGGGGCGTTTCTTCTTCTTCTTCGCATGGGCAAGCCTCCCCGGGGCCCCCCACCCCGCTGGGTCGTTGTTTGGCAAAAAAAACGAAAAGAAAAGAATCGGACGCGCTAAAATCGTCCTTTCTTTTTCCGCTTGCCCCTCCCCCGGCACGTGCCAGCAAGGGCATAAATGGGTACAACACGAGGACTTCCCGGAGGTCACCCAGCCCAGTACTGCTCTCGCCCACCGATAGTGGCTGTGCTTGAAACGCTGTGCCCGTGCGGTCGTGCGGGTTGCTGCCGTGTTTTGGTCCTTTGGTGCTTCCTCCTCCTTAGTCTCTCTCCCTCTCTCCTCTTTTCTTCCCACCTCCCTCTTTCTGTTCCCTTCTTCTATCCTTCCTTCTCTCTTCCTACCGCCTCTTCTTTCCCTACCACTTCTTCTTACTCCTTCATCCTTCCTTCCTTTCCTTTCTTTCCCCTTTTCCTACAAATATATATACCGTCCTCATAGCGATTAGGCTATGTCGAAATTTCTAGTCTTGGAAAACCATTATATTCGGCTTGTATTGCTCTTCCCCTATTAATGAATAACTGCTCTCCGCCCACCGGCGCTTAGCTTCGGAGTTCTGATGGGATCTCCGGCGTAGTAGCCGAGGTATGATCGTACCACGTCAACCTCGTGCCCCGACCGCTACACACCCCTTGCCCGGGTCCCCCCCTTCATAGTCCACACCCCTGCCCCCTCATGCCATCCGCTCCCCCCGCCCCTACCCTCCGCGTGCCCGCCTCCCTTGCCGCCTCTTTTGACCCTCCCTGCCCCCCTCGCCGTTTCCCACCGCCCGCCATTCGCTCCTCCCCGCCCGTGCGCTCCCCTCCTTTACCTTCTCCTCCCCCCTCCCCTCCTCTGCTGCACGCCTCTTCCTTCCCCTCGCCGACCCACTCCACTCCCTGCCCCTCCTCAATCCGCACCCTGCCCCTCGTATCTCGCCCCCCTATGCTTGGTTTCTCCCCTCCCTGCCCCTCGCCGCCTTTCCCCGCTCCCCACCTCCCCCCTCTCCCTGCCCCCCCCACTCTCCCCCCCCCCCTTGTCCTTGGCTTCCTACCTCCCTGCCTCACCTTTCCCCCTCCGTGTGCTCAGCTTCTCCCCTTCCTGCCCCTCCCTCCTCCCCGCCCTGCCCCTCATTTTCCGCCCCCCCCCCCCCCACGCCGTTTCTCCCCTCCCCCTCCCCGCGCTCCCTTTCTTTCTCCGTGCCTCTCCTTTGCTCCCTCCCTGCCCCCGCCTGCCCATGCCCCTGTCTTTGGCTTCTCCCCTCCCTGCCCCACGTTTCTTCCCTCCCTGCCCCCCGTCTGCCCCTCCCTTGTTTTCCCCTCACCCATTGCTTCTCTCCTCCCTGCCCTTGATTTCCCACACCCCTGCCCTCGTTTCCTATCATCCATGCCCCTCGTTTCCCCCCTTTGTACGTTCAGCCTCTTCCCTCCCTGCCCCTCCCTTCCTCCCCCCCTGCCCTTTGCTCTCCCCTCGTTACGCTCCCTTCTCCCATCCCTGCTGCCCTCTTACCACCATCAGCCCATCCCCACGACCAGCCCCCCTCCCACCCTTCAATCCCCCCCTCCCTCTCTCTCTCTCTCTCTCTCTCTCTCTCTCTCTCTCTCTTTCTCACACACACACACACACGCACACTCCCCTCCCCCACCCCCCCCACCTACATCCTCCCATTCTGCCCCTCCCTGCCCCTTTCCCACCCCCTCGCACGCCCCTCTCACTCCCACCTCCGTGCAACTGGTTTCCCCCCTATGGTGCCACCCTTGCATCGCTCGCCCCTCTGCTCACCCTCTGCC